CTACACACTCACTAATTACTAACAATCTACAAACTATCTGTCCCTAACATGAGTTCAATAAAAACTTTTCCCTTTCATGAAACAATCTTATCTTCTATATATTTTGAAATGATTAAAAAAAAAAACTCTTTGCTACTCATTATAAGGTGGTATGCTAGGAAGCTCTGGGTCCACCTTTCATCTCAATTTTTCTTCCTCTTTTGTTAGCGTTTCCTTTATACCATCTTGTATGGCCAGCATCAACTTATCTGGCCCTGCATGTGGTGTGTGCTGTAACACAATTCCATGTGCTACTCACCCACCTTTAAAGGGACGCTATAGACACCCAGAACAATTCAGATCAATGAAGTGGTGTGGGTGCCAGGCCAATCATGTTTTAACCCATTCATATGTAAACATAACAGTTACAGAGAAACTGCTATGTTTACATAGCAGGGTTAATACAACCTCTAGTGCATGTCTTCCTGACAGCTGCTAGACGTTTAACTGCGACGATGGATGTGGATTTTGCATCCATCGCGCAGAGCGTCCATAGGAAAGCATTTAGAAATGCTTTCCTGTGGACTGTTAAAATGCGCGCGCACGACACTTGCAGGGCATGCGCATTACGCACCACTCATGAGCTGACTTCAGTGGGGTAGGAGAGATAACGAGCGCCGAGGGAGCCCGGCGCTGGATTTAACTAAGCTGTTGAAGTGGTTTTAACACCTTCAGCGCCACGGGAGGTGAACCCTGACGGAGAAGTTCCACCAAAGATTATATAGTGTCGTGAAAACAGCTTTGTTTAACAGACACTACAGTGATCCTCTAAATAACTTTATTAAAGGACCACTGTAGGCACCCATACCACAGACGACATAATGATGTCGTCTGTGTGCCAGGTCCCTCTAGGAGTAACCCTTTCTTTTATATCAACATTGCAGTTTCAAATAAACTTCTATGTTTATATTTTGTTAAATCAAGCCTCCAAATCCTCTAGTGATGGGGTTCTCAACCCAGTCCTCTGGACCCCCTACCAGTCAGGGATTTGGGGATTACCTGGGTGTGTCTAAGGTGTTTAGAAAAAGGGTTTAAAAAAATACCTTTGACTCTAAGGGTTTTTTTTTTCTTTTTCTAAACAC